ATGAACGCCTACCACCTCGACCTGCTTATATAAAGGGCCAGTCAACAACCAATTATTATACCAGAAATCTGTACTTCCATCTCTAAGTTGCCAGGCCATGTGATCCTCTACGACATCCTGAGCATGTAACATGCGCTTCCAAGTCAAAGAACAACCTAGTGAGTCCGTGACAATGCAAGGGTTCCGACCTTTACAATATTTATTTTGAAGGGAATCAAACCAAAGAGTCTTCTTGCACCAAAAATTCCACCAAAGTTTGATGGAAAAAGCTGCAAACACATCATGTAAAGAATGAATTCCAATCCCACCTTCCTCTACCCCGCACACACAGATCCTTCCATTTGATCCAATGATATTCAAAACCTTCCTCTGAAAAGCCCTACAATAAGCATGCGAATAATTTCTCAATGGACTGCAAGACCCCTTTAGGTAGAGTAGCAACAGCCAGCGTATGGATGGGAATCGAGGCCAAGACATGCTTAATGAAAACTATCCTCCCCCTAGAGGTAACAAATAATTTTTCCACGGCAACACACACTGGAAAAGGGAATTAACGAGGTTTGCATAATGGGATTTTTACACTTGCCTGCGTAAAGAGTACTTCCCAAATAGCGCACAGGGAGCAATTTATGATTAAAACCCGTAATTTGAGCTATAATATTTCTCCTTGCTAGCGACATCTAAAAGTGACAAAAGAAGCAACTTTTTTGAGTACTTACAAACTGACGAGAGTTATTCACATAACTCGAAAGAGTATTCATTTTTAGTTCCAAGGATCGACAGGAAGCACTAGAAAAAATGACTACGTCATCCACATAAGCAAGATGTGTAAGCATAGAACATCCTCTCAGAAACTTAAATGGAATGAAGTCTTCCCTTTCTAATAATAAATTCAGAGATCTAGTTAGGCCCTCCGCTGCAATGACAAACAAAGCAAGAAACAATGGTTTGCATTGACGTGGGCCCCTAGAAGATTTGAAGAATCCCTGCGGCGAACCATTGACTAAAACAGAAAACTAGCAATTAGAAACAGCCCTCCAAACCATATCTATCCACCTATCACCAAATCCAAAAGCATGAAGCACTCTAATAAAATAAAACCAAGAGACCCTGCCATATGCTTTGGCCATATCTAACTTGAGAACCACATTCCCACACCTATTCCTTTTACCAATAGTCGAGACCAACTCTTGAGCTAAGAGAGAATTATTAGAATTTGTGTATCTTTAAGAAAATCACTTTGTTGGGGCGAAATAATCAATGGAAAGACCTACACCAATCGTTCAGAGAGCGCCCTGAAATTACTTTATTGACAAAATTGCAAAGACTAAAAGGACGGTAATGAGAAAATTCTTGAGGATGCTGCACTTTGGGGACTAAAGTGATTGAAGTAGATGTTAACCAACAAAAAAAAAAAAACAAGAACCACCCTATAGACATTAGCACCCACCACCTCCCAAGCATAAGTATAAAATTTTTCGATAAAACCATCTGGGCCAGCAGCACTAGATTTATCCATTGCAAACACTACACCCTTAACCTCTTCCATGGTGGGAAAAGCCTCAAGTATCTCATTGGAAGAAGAAAATAATAAGGGAGGAATTTGCAGAAGAGCATAATCCATTAAAACTTATTCATCCGCCTCAAACATGTGACTAAAAAAGGAAACAGGTTCATTAGCAATATCAGCATCATTATCAAACCATAGTCCAAAAGAGCTTTTGATTCTATGGATGGTAGTTCCCGCCCTTTGCTTAGCAACTTTAGCATGAAAAAATCAGTATTTCTATCACCATCCTTCAACCAATTAACATGCACTTTCTGCTCCCAAAAATCTTCTTCTAAGCCTAACACCCTACGTAGCTCAGCCTTAGCCTTATGCAAATGCTCATGATTAAAATCTAAGCTATCATTATCAAAGTTCAATTCTGCAGCTGTAACATTAGCCTCAGCCAGGTGAACATTAAGGAAGAGATCACCAATGTCTCCCTAGACCAACCACAAAGAGGTTGCTTAACCTTCTTTAACTTGAGGAATAAATTCTAGAATGGATCATCAAAAAAAGTCCCAGCCCACTCTTGACGAATCAAATCCAAAAATCCAGCATTAGATGTCCACAAATTTAGGAAACGAAATGGCCAATGTAAGGTATCCAAACTAGAGGAAAAGGATAGAAGTAAAGGCAAACGATCGGATAGATCACGACACAAATGCTGCATAGAAAAGACAACCCGTAACTGCACAAATGCATTGTTAAATAGGACCATATCTAGCCGCTTCCAGATTCTAGCATGACCTTCCCTATTGTTGCACTAGGTGAATTGTGATCCAGAAAAACTAGCATCAAAGACTTGTGCATCTACAAGGAAAGTCAAAAAATCTGCTGCTTCCGTGAGTGAAAAAGGCTAGCCTCCTCTCTTCTCCTCAACATCTAGTATAACATCAAAATCTTCCCCAATCACCCAAGGAAGAGTCGAAGAAACATTTTCTTTATTCAAACTTGCCCACAAAGGCAATCTTTCCTTAGCAGTACACTTTGCATGAACCCAAGAGAATAGTACTGGGGAGGGATAGAACGTATGCTGAATTAAGAGAAAATGATGTTCACTTTGACATACCATTGAACATTGAACCAAGCTTTGGTGCAAAATCCAGAGAGAACCCGACTCATTAGAAATGCCAAAAGACATGCCTAACTTCAGCCGAATAGAAGCCAGACTTGACCTCAGAGCTTTAGCTCACAGAGAGCTATAAATTCCAATTTATGTAAATGAATAAGTTTCCAAATATTAGGGTATCAGACCAACTATTTGAAAAAGAAAAGACCAAACAATTTAATAGAAAACAATATCTAGGACAAACGATGAGTAACGCACAATAATTAACATGGTTTGGCTTAATCACCAAGCCTACGTCCACAGAGAGAAAAACTTGTTCTTACTATGAGAGAAAAACACCACAAGATTACAACTTGATTTCCAAACCCCAACTCTTGTATAACCCTCTCACCTACTAAGAATTATCTCACTCCTTTCTTGTGTGTCTTTGTAGTATGCCAATCAACCTATTTATAGAGAACATTACTTGGCCAAAAAGCCGAATAATAATTCGAACCCAATACTAATTCCTAAACTTATACATAATAGGAAATAACATCTAAATCCTAAACCAAATAGAAGTTTCGTTGACTACTACTTCAAGTAACTAAATCCAATTAAGAAACTTGTTACTTCCCACACCAAATAGAGATCTTGACTAAAAGAAATTAAACCAATTTTTTAACAAATCTCCACCTTGGCGAATATTTCTTTTAGCAAACACAGCAAACCATCCAAAAAACTCCATTTGCCGTTTTCCATCAAATACCTTGGTGTCTAGCTACACACCCAAATTAAGACGATCCTGTTTTCAATTAATTCAATCGACAAATGAACATGTGTGACTAACCAAGTCCAACATCTAGGTGACTCGTGAGAGGGGCCTCAATTCACACTCGCCCATAGCAGGACTTTTCCTCTCACCACCATTTGTAATTTGAGAGCATTCCTGGATCCCCTTCCGCTCTCAATCCATTGAGGTATTCAAATGGTACAATTATCATATTTATTCCCCATCAACAAGACCGTCTCACCATATGTGATTTTCAAGACTCCATCTGCAGCGAAAAAATGGTAACCCTCCGAGTCTAACTGGCTCAAAGAAATTGGATTCCTTCATAACTTTGGGACGTAAGCCACACCACCCAAAGAACGAATCTCTCCCACTACAACAAAAATGGCCTTTAACGGCATTTAAAAGTGTCAGTATAGATAATCTAACCTGACACTTTATCTATCCTCACACCTAGGGCGAGTGTTGTCCCTTCCAATGTGGGGATAGACTCATACTATTCAACATGTCAGGAAAACTATGCTGTTATAACATCCCATCTGCCAACAAAAATCCCTTTTCTTGATAATTGAAAGTGTCAGGATAGGTATAGTACAACATTAGAATATCGAATTCTATGCTGACACTTTTAATTGCCAGGAGTTTTTTTATCTTTTTTTTTTTGATATAGAAGCAACCTGCAGGTAGTGCTCCCTGCTATACATTCCGTCAATCAGAAACCCAAAGGACTTGTAAAATTATCCCAAAGAACAGAATGCATATAGTAATCTAAAAGCAAAAATCAATACTCAAATATAATTTGTTGAACTAAAAGTCAGTAACAAGTACTAACATAACAAATCCCTAACAAATACAAACTTGAAAGATTCTCATGTGAACAAACTTAAAAGATTCTCTTGTGCACAAACTAAAATATTCTCATCCCTAGCAAGTAGAAAGAACTTGCAGTAGCTTCCAAACTTTCCAATGAAAGGAGAGCCTTCAGTCATAACCTGATATCTTTTGTGAGCCATCATTATTCTGTAAAGAAAGACCAGAAATAAAAAAATAAATTAAAGATATCAGCACCTAGCAATTACGTTCTAATGTAAAGTAACGATACCAAACAGGATTCATTTCATTCAAAATAAAGTTGATTGCTGAATAGCCAAATTTTGGTACCAAGCAGGTTTGCAAAACTTAACTGGGAAAAGCAAAGGTGATAACGCAGGTTATATTTTCTTGTATATCAAAAGGTTTTGGAATAACACACTGATCCAATTGCCATCATTGCACTGAAATTTTACTTGCTATCACCAAACATACTACTAAAGCAGCAAACATACTAAATAAAGAAGAAGAATGACCAAAAAGATAGATGTCATGATTGAAATTACCCCTCTTTAGAAGACTAGAATTTATGAATCTAGATGTAATTTTATCCTTTGGCTTAGCAATGAATTCGAACGTTTGACATAACAATCTGGGGAGAAAATGTGAAAAAGCAATACCTCTTCTTTGAAGTTTAGATCATAAATCTTGTCTTTACCATAAAACTCAGAAGTAGCCACATCCATCCCAATCACAACTTGCAGCAATTTCAAACTCTTCAAACTGATTTCAATACAGACTTGTTGAAATAAACCATACCACAGACAAGCACCCATCAAATAAGTTCAATTAGGATGTTCAAGAAAGCAATGGCTGGACCAATGCCAGAAGTACCATTAATTTTTTAGGCAAATATCTCACTTCCATTCTCACTCACCACTTCCCTTTATTCCCCAATGTATTTAGCCAAAGAGGGGAAAATACCAAAAAACAAAAAAAAATCTTCAATTGAGTGTACAGATGAGTTTAATTGACAAGCTTATGTAGCTTAAAAAATTGGATAATATGAAAACTAGCAATAAATGAAGTCCACTAACCTCTAACCGAAAGGCACGTTCCTCATTGTTTCCCTTCTCTGTGCAACATCTTAATTGCAGCCACAGTGCCATCAGTCAAAATCCCTCTATACACTACCCCATACCCTCCATTTCCTATCACATTTGCTGCACTAAATTTGTTTGTTGCAATCTCAAGCTCTGTGTAAGTAAAAACTTGTACACCCTTAAGCTTGGATGCAGCCTGCTTCCATACAAACATCCGCCTTTGACATCTGCTCCATTTTCACCAGCAAAACATATACCCATAGCATTCAAGAACAGTGTAACCAGTATAAACATCCATTCCAATACTTAATTTACCAGTGTAACCAGCTTTAGCAATAGCTGTTTTAAGCAATTCAAGACCTTCCTTGTTCTCCTGAAATGTCAAAGTCACAAAGTTGTAAAATATATGACAACCGAATTGAACAATGAACAGGAAGCATATTAGCAAAATGCCATGAACTAACCTGGATATTAGAGCAATGTCACCCTCATCACCAACATTTGTTGCATCTTGGCCATACTTCTTCTTAATTACAGACTGAAGAAAGAGATCAGCAATAAACAAGCATATGTCAAAGCAACAGAAACACATCAAATGCGCTCACAGATATGAAAGAGGATAAAGCATCTTAATTACAATAATTCTATTAGTTTATATATTATTGAGTAAATTAATATCAGTACCAAAGGAAAGAAGGTTGACATTTTATCGAACAGGTTATGGACAACAAATCTAGTATAAAGGGTAGTGGTCACTTATGTGGGAGAAGCCGGGGTACAGGGCAGGGGGCAAGAGGAGCTTTTTTGGCATAAGACGAGAGCTGATACCTTTGCTTTCCAGCAACGCCTCGACACTAGCAATCATTTCTGGTACCTTGCTCTGTGCATAAGGTTATTCTTATGAGAAGCAAATCATGTATAGGGAATTACTCTAGCAATATTATATGCCAAATTCACTTCCCATTTTCATATATGGGACAGCGAACTTTCTTATTCTTGACTCGTGATGTGATTAACATAGAAGAAGGCTTACCTTTAGGCTCTCTGCAAGCATGAGTGGTTAGCCAGTTTGTGTACTTTTGCCCATTTTTCCCCTCATTTGTTATAAGCGGCTCACCTATTAATTTGATAATTTCTTTGCAATGCCTTCCATATCCATTTTCTGGTAAGCGCCTTCTCTGTTGGTTAGTAATTCTTTGCTCTGCATCTATTATAATTAATTGGGCTTGTGAACCATGCCAACTAATATATAGTTCTTACCTGTCAGCCGAAACAGAAAATCATGAAAACAAGATTGAGAATGAAGCAACTTTTAGAAGAAAAATCAGTATCGAACTTGAACTAGCATACCACAGAATCTTATTGCAGCTTACAGGAGTTAATTATTTTCACATCAGTTGGTTTACAGAGCAGGAGCAGGAAATCAGAAAATTGTACAATTTAGGGTAAAAAGTAACCATGCAATTACATACCTTCAATAGGGAAGCAAAGGTAGTTTGATTGCGGAGAGATTCAGCAGAAAAAACTTTGTGGGGAAAGGAAAATTTTGGCAGAGAGCTTTGAGAGATAGTTTGCCGAGAGAGATGAGAAGAGCCAAAATTTTGCTGGCCGGCAAAATGAAATTTTGAGATTTCACTAAGTGTTTTGGCAAAGGAATCTTCCGCCAAAATCAAACGACATCGTTTTATGTTTTAATTTTTTTGGTGTATCTCACATTTTCTCAAGTGTCATGATAGGGAATCTAAAGACACATTATTAGTTTTATATCAGATAAAATTTAAAAAAATTAAAGTATATATTATTGATTTGATAACAAATGTCATGATAGAAGTGCTATAATGACACAAACCAACAAGTGTCCTTATACACGTGTCAAGAAAAGCCATTTTTGTTGTAGTGTCCATTCAATATTTTGATTTTCATCACTCCAACACCTTTGACTTAACAAGTAGATTCATCACCCAAGGACACAAAACTTGCCTTCTTTCTTTGAAGAGTATCAAAATAGTCTAACCTTGAGCAAACATGTGAAACACATCCAGAATCTAAAATCCAACCATCATGAGAAGAAGTATTATTACCTTTGGAGATTGTGAGAATATCTCCACCCGACACATATCCAGCAACACCATCATAGTCATTCTCATCATTTTTCTTTTGATGAAGGCAATATATTTTGATATGGCTAAACTCATGACAACCAAAGTATTGGACTCCACTCTTTCTCCTGGCCTTTGAACCACCCACCTTAGATTCACCGCCAAGTTGTTTTCCTCTTTTACTCTCACCTTGAACAATTAACGTAGCTTCTTATGTCACTTCCTGGTTTGCCTTCCTTTGTTTTTCATGATCCAATAAAGATGACTGCAATTCTCGAACTCTAAAGTGTCCTTCCCATATAACAGGGCCGTCACAACATTTTTGTAAGAATCAGAGACTACGATAAGAAGTAAAAGGGCGTTATCTTCTTCTTCAATGTCTACGCCAACCTTTTGGAGTTGATCCAAAATTCCATTGAACGCATTCATGTGATCCATGAGACTGCCACCCTCCTCCATCTTTAGTGCATAAAGTTGCCGCTTTAGATGCAACTTATTGGACAAGCTTTTAGCCAGATAAAGCTTTTCCAATTTTTTCCAGAGGTCTGCTGCAGAATCTTCCTCATCTATCACATTATTTATGATGTTATCTGCCACATAGAGTTGAATTGTGCTCGCACACCTTGCGTCCAATTCCTCAAATTCATTATCATTCATGCTCTCTGACTTCTTGTTCTTTCCATTCAACGCTTTTGCCAAATCTTGTTGAACTAGAACATCCTTCTCTATTCTTTGCCAAAGAGTGAAACTTGTAGTTCCATTAAACGGTTGAATTGGAAACTGTATAGTTCTAAATCTATAGTATACTACCACCCACTCAATTTCAAATAATTAACCAAAACTCCAACGGAGTTCTGATACCACTTATTAGGGTATCAGGCCAACTATTTGAAAAAAAAGACCAACAATTTAATAGAAAATAATATCTAACACGAACGATGAGTAACACACAAGAATTAATGTGGTTCGGCTTAATCACCAAGCCTACGTCTACGGAGAGAAAAACTTGTTCTTACTATAAGAGAAAAACACCACAAGATTACAACTTAATTCCCAAACCCCAACTCTTGTATAACCCTCTCACCCACTAAGAATTCTCTCACTCCTTTCTTATGTGTCTTTGTAGGATGCAAATCTACCTATTTATAGAGAACATTGCTTGGCCAAAAAGCCAAATAACAATTGGAACCCAATACTAATTTCGCAACTTTTACAGAATAGGAAATAACATCTAAATCCTAAACCAAATAGAAGTTTCGTTGACTACTGCTTTAAGTAACTAAATCCAATTAGGAAACTAGTTACTTCCCACACCAAATAGGGATCTTGACTAAAAGAAATTAAGCCAATTTCCTAACACCCAAAACTTCAAAAATTAGGTAGCTTAGAGACACTCCTAATATTCCAAAATAATGTGCTAGTCATTGGAAAAACTGCAAAAGAATTCAGCATAGAATTACTCTTCGAACGAAGAATTCTGTCAGATCCAAACCTGGCTTGAATTCCCTTTGGTTTTGTCTGTTGAGCTTGAGTTGGCAACACTTCATCTCCATCTACCGTGGAAACCATGGGGTCCAAATTGAGAGCCATGATTATATGACTTGAAGATAGGCTCGAATCAGAAGTTACCTTCCTTAGAGAAAGACTGTCTGTTGCAATTTACCCTTGAGGAAGGTCTGTTGGGATGGCAACTATGGTTGTATCAGCATTAGCACCAACCTCCTGATTTTCCAAAGCACGAAGGCATGCATTCTAAGAACTTTCAACCAACTCTTGCTCCGGCTTCATAAAACCTGAACCACCATTCTCATTATTTGTAGGAAAAATCGAGGCTTATTGTTCCTTACTACTGATCGACACTCCTGCTGGACTCACAGAGAGCTTATTTGCTTGCTGCAACCCCAATCCCTCGGTATAGTTTTGTGAAGATAAACCATTATGCCCCTTAGCCTGTTGCAAACTACGGGCGTTAATAGGAAGCTATGTTGGAGCCCTGGAAATACGAACGTAGTTGACCTTAGAGATTTTCTCCTTATCAACAAAGATCTCTTTACCCGGACGTTGTTGCATTCTGATTTCCTCTTCCTTGCCCTTTTCGTTTGTACAAGACTCGAGAGAATGGCCCATGTGCCAACAATAAGAACAGCATCGTGGCAAATTTTTTGCCAGAAACCTTTAGTAGAAACCGTAACCCCAATCCAAACTCGACTAGGTAAATCTCATAGTAAATCAACTTCAATGTAGATCTTTGCAACACTAGGCCGGATCAATGAAGCAATAGCTGAATCCACAAACATCAGATGCCCAAGAGGAAATTCGCATTGGAAATTTGCGTATATACTAGAGACCTCGAGTCCAAACCATGGTTCAAAGTCGTGGTCGCGGTTGCAGTCGCGGTCCGGACCGTTCCACATCGATCTCGACATATCGGTCGCGGTCGTAGCGAAACGCAAATTTTTGAAATATTTAATATTCTAAAAATTATTTAAAAAATATGATAAAAAATAATTAAAAATTAGCAAAAATAATAAAAATTCGAGCTGATTCGAGACGATTCGGCCATTTCTATTCGTCTCGGAGACGTCTCAGTTGAATTTTTGGCGATTCATTATCTCGGAATCATCTCGTCCCGGTATTGGATCGGAAACCCCCGTTCTAGTGATGACTCGGCCAAGTCGTCTCAGTCTCGGCCGAGTCTTTGAATCATGGTCCAAACCTAATGCAAATCTAATTTGGATGAAAATCTTAGAAGAACATGCCTTGAATCCATATGTCCTACAAAAACATTTTGCTTTAAATCCAAGGTATGGAAGAATTTCCTGATATCCTCAAGTTTAGGCCGGCCATTAGAAAATTTTCCCACGAGGGAAAGCTTGAAAGGAGCAGCAACCTTATTGATCTCCTCTTGAAAAAATAAATCGCAGCCTCTCCACGGTGAGAAGATGGTTTTTTAATAGCAATAGAGGATTGCGGTGCCTCAGTGAATAGTTACAAGAAAGACTTTTTGTCTACAAAAAGTTCTAGATGTCCTCCAACCGGAACCAGGGTGGCAACCATAGGAATCATGGCGGCAGAAATTCAAAAGCTAAACTAGGGTAGCTATTCACTTATACTGTGTCACTGTAAATTTCTAATGTATGAGTGTAACTATCAATAGTAGGCTGTAACTCTTAGAAAAGGAAGAAGATACAATATCATCACCAATTAGAATAATGGGTTATCTTCATTGGATGTTTCCAATCTTTAAATGCACTTTTTGACGTAAATATGTTATATGAAAAATTATCAATATAGAATTTATTCTACGTGCAAAGTAAATGTCTAAACTATAATTTATGCTAGCATTTCATATTTTAAATAATAATAATAATATGAAATAGTTATTCGCAAAAGAGGCTCAAAATTCAAAAGAATTTTATTTTAGTGTTTAACTTATATTGAAATATTGTATTATATATGTCCTATTTTAAACATTTAACTATACTAAAAGTATTAAAAAAGTGCAATAAAACACTTCAAAAAAATACCAAAAGTACACCAAGCACACATTGTCACCCTCTTCTAGATTGCATCTAGTCAAACCACTTTCCCCACCTTGCAAGAGCTTGACCCCTCCTCCCGTCTTCTGA